GGTCCAAGGGAGACCTCTCCCCTTGGCACTCACCATCCGGCCATGCCGAGGGCGACCTGCTTGTACCTGTGATGCTTTGAGGCCTGAGTGCCACCCCTCGGCCCCGACAGGGTCGCAGGGAGATGAAACCCCAGAGGCAGCACATGGCAGATGGGTCTGCAGACCCCCTGTTTTAGTCGCCATAACAAAATAGCATGGACTGGGTGGCTTAAAGAACAGAAATGTATTTTCTCCAGTTCTGGGGGTTGAAAGTCCAAGATCAAGGTGCCAAGAGGGCTGGTTTCTTCGCTTGCAGCTGGTCACCTTCTCTCCTAGTTCTCACGTGGCCCTTCCTCTGTGTGCAGACACACCTGGTGTCTCTTCCTCTGCCTATAAGGACAGTAATCCTATCAGATCAGGGCCCCACCCATATGACCTCATTTAACCTTTGTTACCTCCGTAAAGGCCCTGTCTCCAGAAACAGTCAGACACTGGGGGTTAGGGCTCCAGTATATGAATTTGACAGGACTCAATTCAGTCTGTAGCACCCCTCTGATTAGCTTCACCAATGGAACCAAGATTTTGACAGATCTGGCCTACTGGATGCTGGGTTTCTTAAGTCACATGTGATTTTTCCCCGTTCTGTTAATCAACACTGCACATCAGAGCTTCCGCCATTTGTAGACATTTCCTTAAGAACTTCATGTGTCTCTGCTTAATGATGCTCCCAGTAACAGCCCCACATTGAACACTGAAAGCAGCGCAGGGACTGTGCTGGGCTTTTCCGCTCAGTCCTCACTTCCCTGTCCCCCTGTCAGCAGGGACCATCACTTGTTCCGTTTGGTTGATGAGGAGCTTGAGGCTCAGAGAGGGGAGACCTCCCAGCTTGGAATCGTCAGGGAGGCACCACGAAGCCACATCTGTCTGACCCCAGAGACTGTTTCTCCCCACTTCCCCCCTGCCTCCCCCCCACCATCTCTTACCTTAGCTGGTTCAGAGAAGAACCTTGAACACCCATCTCGGGCACAGTCTCCCTTCCTTTTACTCCAGAAGAAGGCCTGCTTTTCCCAACCCTGCAACTTCTTCATCTCTCTGGAAGGTTACAGGCCTGGCCCGATACCCTGTTGTTTTTAGTCATCCAAAAGCCAGCTCCGCGGGGACAGCCGCCGGCATGTGCAGCCTTCTTACTGCCTGAGATTATGTCCAGCGCTCGGGGGAAAAAGCTTCCCCACACGTAGCAACGGTCTCCAGGCTGAGCTGAGCTGAGCTGAGGGCTTCCAAGTAGAGAGGTCATTTGGAGAATGACCAGCATCTTTATGGATGGAGGTGACCGCCAGCCAGCTGGCTGTGAAGGGTGGGCGTGTCTCTCTGCAGCCAAGAGGGGTTGACCTCAGGGATGCTCACTCTTCCCAGTGTGTTGGGCCTTCCCATCACAGCCCCCGGAAGTCGAGGCAGTTGGCCTTTACGAAGAGCGGCTTGTTTCCGGAGTGAAGGTGAAGAGAGCTGGCAGGCAGCAGCCTCTCGCACACGATTTTCCCCGGGAGCGTCTCTCTCCAGGATGATAGAGTGCTCTCTGGTTCACTTTTGTTTTCGTTTGCATCCTCGATTTTCAATCATTTTGACTCCATCCCGTTGAACTGTTGAGGCCATCTCTCTTTTGGCCGTCCTGAGGGGTTGGTCTGCATTTGGTCCAAATTATGGGACTGCCGACAGACGGCACTGACAGTGCTGCAGCAGGCAGGGCAGGACGAGGCGCTGGGACGAGCTCTCGTCTGGGGTCGGAGAGCCAGGCGGCTCGGAGCTGCTTCCTGAGGGCCCTGCGCCCGGTCACACAGGAGGGCGGTTGAGTCTCTCAGACGTGGTTGCCTCAAGCAGAAAGCAGAGTTCATATCTCATACTCCTTTGTTCTCCCCAGGGCTAAGTACGGCAATCTGGGAAGCACAGAAGCAACCTTTCCCCTCTTTACCCTCTGAGAGGGAGGGACGAGAAGGTTCTTCAAATGATGTGAAGTTGGATGTGAAATAGCAGAATAGAATGTTGATAACCATCCATCCTTTTGCCAGCGGAATATTGCATCTAAGTATTCTTTCTATTAAACCCACGGTAAAACATCTCAGGGGCCAAATGCAGGCTATAGGAAGATGGTCTGCATTCTTGAAAAAAAGAAAAAAAGAAAAACCACCCTGGACTTCTTGGCAAGTTCGAACAAGGTATTTTCCCATTTAATGCTGGTGATAATGGATGAGATAGAGTGGGGATCATTCCAGATGAGGAAAAGAGGCTCGGGGAGAAGGGGCAGGTCCAGGGTCTCGCTGTGATTGGCTGTATCTGTGAGGTGGGGCCGGCTGAGCTCAGTGTCTAGGACAGGGGCCTCCCAGGAGTGCCCAGGGCACCAGGAGGTGGGGCTGAGCAGAGGTGGCTGAGAACTCCTGAGCCCCAGGTCAGGAGGGGAGAAGGGGCTGGGATCGGGACCTGGGTCTTCAGTCCAGGGCCAATCTGACCAGAACAGCTTTGCAAACTGGGTGGATGTGGGGTGTGTTGGGGTGAGAGGTTCAGGACGGCAGTGAGAGCTAGGTGAGCGGGTCAGCCGTCTGCTCCTGCCGGCCGTGGGTAGGGGTGAGGGTGGGGGCCCGCAGATGGAAGGTTCTGGGCCTGAGAGGCACTGAGGCATCATGTGGATTGACATCTGTGCACCAGGTCTGAATAACACTAGACTCAGGGCTGTGTGAATGCAGAGTCCTGTGGGAACAGCACTATTTTTGGCCCAAACCGGGACAAAGGGCCACGATGAAACACCATCATGGAAGACCCTCCCTTGTCTTGATCATGGTTGCAGCTCTTCCCTCCCACGGGGCTGCCCCCTGACTGCACCCTCCCCCCACCCGCGCTGGCCATGCTCCCAGGACCCAACATCATGCCGTCACTTTCTTCGTCCTCTTTGGATCGCTCTCCTGCCCCCTCTCCCTTGCTTGCTTCCATCCATGTACGTGTAAGATACTAAACTATGCAGAAGGGCATATAGTGAGGAGTAAAAATCTTCCTTTCCTCTTCAGTGCTTTTCTTGAGGGGGAACCCCTGTTCAAAGTTGGGAAGCCTCAGGCATTCTTTTTCTCTCAGTGAACATATATGTGTGTGTGTGTGTTTTCATTAAACAATCCATTATGAACAACCCATGAACTGCTCTGCCAGTCATGTGATCAGCCTTCTGCTCTTGGTGTACCTTAATTTCTCAGTGTACCGACGTGCCTTAATTTATAGACCATCTCCTTATTGCTGCTTAGGAAGCCACCTCCGATCCTTAATCTCAGTTGACACCCAGAGACCACTGTTTAAGGGTCCTGTTTTGCCCTGTCCCCACCTGGGGAGGTCCTGGGGGACAGGACCCTGCATGTGGAATTGCTGGCCAGCCTCACTTGCCCCCTGCAGGTGTCAGTGTTGGCCGGGCCCAAGTGGCATCTCGTTTCTATCTGACCTGTCCCCTACTTGGGAGTCAGTGTGGGAGAGGCACATCCATGTGTTAACATATTGTTAGTTTCTATTCTTTTAGCTGCAAGTAACAGATATCAACTCAAACTACTTTTAATTAAAAAAACCCTGACAAGTTCATACTGTATATAGCACAAGGGACTATATTCAATGTCTTATAGTAACTTATGGTTAAAAAGAATATGAAAACAAATATATGTATGTTACTATATGACTGAAGTGTTGTGCTGTACACCAGAAATTGACACAACATTGTAAATTGACTATACTTCAATAAAAATATGTATACAAGAACAAAAAAATTAAAAATAAAATTGTGAAGTGAAAAAAATAAAAAAATTTATAAAAGCACTTCTTAGGATGTAGAGCAGGAAGACAGCTAAACTTTTTTGTAACTTTTTTTATTGAGTTATAACCATTTTACAATGTGTCAAATTCCAGTGTACAGCACAATTTTTCAGTTATACATAAACATACATATATTCATTGTCACATTTTTTTCTCTGTGAGTTACCATAAGATCTTGTATGTATTTCCCTATGCTATACAGTATAATCTTGTTTATCTATTCTACATTTTGAAATCCCAGTCTGTCCCTTCTCACCCCTCGCCCAGGAATACAGCTAAACTTGATGAGGTTAGGTCACTCAGATTCTCACTTCATCTCTCATCTCCATGAAATAAAGAAGAGGTATTATTTCACGTGTCTGCATGTGCCTATGTTTTCTGTTCCTCATGTCATGAGACAAACACATGGTTACCAGCCACACGATCAAGGTCTCACTCCTTTTTGCTCTGTCTCTCATCACTCTATTTCACCACGACCCAATTCCAGATTCTAAGAGAAGGAACTCTGAGCAGCCCTGCATGAATTGGATGTGCTTTCCCACTGCCAAAAAAAAAAAATCCATCTGTGGTCAGAGCACAGAGATGCCTCATTCTCCATGGGCAAGAGCATCCCCACTCTAGGTCTGGGGAGGCCAGACGAGGCTGTTTTGGGTGGACAGACATTCCACAGATGCTACTTGTACAGAGAGTGTCCCCAGTGCAGTGGCAGGAGCCCCAGATTTACAGCTGAGAGACTTCAAGCAGGTCTGCTTTAGACTCTCTCTTTGACCTTGGAAATGTCAACACCCCCCAGCCCTCAGTTTCCCCATTTTTTCCAGCTTCGTTGAGGTATAATCAACAAAAAATAAAAATCTGTATGCTATATTTAATGTGTACAATGTGATATTTTTATATAAATATATGTTGCAAAACAGTTACCACAATATCATGTTGATTGACACATCCATCACCTCATATAGTTACCATTTTGGGGGGTGGTGCTGAGAACATATAGGATCTACTCTCTTAGCAAATTTCAAATACAATACAGTATTATTAACTATAGTCACCATGCTGGACGTTAGATCTCTAGAGCTTATTCATCCTGCGTAACTGAAAGTTTGCTCCCCTTGGCTGAGCATATCCTCATTTCCCTCCTACCCCCAGCATCTAGCTACCACCGTTTGACACTCTGCTTCTTTGGGTTTGTGTTTTTTTCAGATTCCACTTACAAGTGAAGTCATGTGCTATTTGTTTGTGTGAGGCTTATTTCCACAAAGCATAATGTCCCTCAGGCTTATCAAGGTTGTCCCAGATAGCAGAATCTCCTTTTTTAAGGGTGCATAATATTCCATTGTATATATATTATATACATATATATATGTGCCACATTTTCTTTATCCATTCATCCATTGACAAATACCTAGTTTGATTCTATATCTTGATTATCATGAATAAGCATTTACCCCATTTTTAAACTTGAATTAACAATGGCTGTGCTTCCTCCTTGCAGGACTATTGTGAGAAATCGAAGGATTATTTAAAGTGAAAGTGTTTTTTGCTCCATAGTTCCATACTTCCATCATTGCTGTGATTATTTCGTCGGCTGTTTTCTGCCCCTCCTCTCCCTCTTCCTTCTTCCAAAGATATAACTTGTTTCCTCATCATTATAAAAAATGTACATACTCACTGTAGAAAGAAAGAAAAAAGGAGAGCCAGAGCCACAAAGAGACAATAAAACACCCTGAATCCCGCTGTTAACACTATGTCATAAACTAGTTGTGACCTCAATTCTTCTTTCCTCTTTCCTTTTTTTTTTCCTACTTTCACTTTTTAAAAACACATATAGAATCATTCAGCAGAGTTCTTGGTTCCATGTGTTTCCTCCTTTGGGGAGTGAGGGGGAGTGACGTTTGGTGTGGGACCACGGGGGGGCGCCACGTTCTGGAGGGGAACGCAGGAGAAGGGTGAGGCAAGAGGCTGGACGTCTCCCGCTGCCCCCCACCCCCGCGCTTTGTGGGCTTCCCTTCCTCCCTGGTTCCAGGTCCCCTTGAGGGGCTGAGGGGCCAACTGCTGGGGATGAGGTGGGGTGAAAAGCGGCCCCATCGAGGGCTGCAACCCCCATGCACCCCCCGGGAACCTCTCAGCATCCATCTGGTCAACCTCCCTCATCTGCCCTCCTCCCACCTCCAGACTCTGCCACCTCTTTAGGGCTTTTCACCTTTACCTCACTTAAACGTGCATATGTTCAACTGTAGGGACATGCACTGGTGGGGAGACCCAGCAGGAGGCTGGGCTTGGGCAACACAGCCCCCCACTCCTGGCTGTTCCGAGGTGCCTGACCTGTCAGAGGCCACAGACCCTGCCCGGTGGAGCGTTATTTGGCTGCTGGGGGAAGAGGGGGTGGGATCCGAGGGGAGGCCAGTTACTGGGGAGGGCTTGTGCTTTCCAGGAAGGTGGGTGGAGATTCAGGCCACAAGCCTCGGAGAGGCACACAGGGTGAGCACAATATATCTGTAGGTTAAAACTTGGGCTCCTGGGTCAGCTGTCTGGGTTCAGACTATGGCTCTGAGATCATGGGAAAGTCATTTACTCTCCAAACCTCAGTTTCCTCATCTGTGAAATGGGGATGTCGAGAGTGTGGTCAGGGGGAGTAAGGCCTGTGTTGTAGTGTTTGCCAGTTTCCATGGTATCAACACTCTCATCATGGATGATTTCAAGTCACCAACATGAAGTTACGGAAGGCAGAGTTGGGAAGCGATGTATTTCCATGCCCTGTAGTATATTATTTCTAACACACTGATACAATACATGTCAACAGCCTCAAGTCATAGTCAACGACTTTCTTTAAAGCACAGGGAGCCATGTTCAATTTCCTATAATAAGCTATAATGGTAAAGAATATGAAAATGTATGTATATATATGTATGTATCTGTATAGCTGAATTGCTTTGCTGTACACCTGAAACTAACATTGTTAATCAACTACATGTCAATAAAAAAAAAGAAGAAAAATTTTAATTCAAAGCACACAGGCCAGATGAGAGTGAAGCAGGCAGTGAGTGAGTGAGGATGGGAACCTTGTTAA